ATTGAATGTTAAACGATAATGTCAATAAAGTACCTAAGAATAAATTTAACGTACATACACATGCGTAGGTTGTGGGTATTTTTTTGATGTACAGTTATTTTATTATCTATGAAGCGCCACCACGAAATATTTGCTTTTGCACAAAAATAAGATCCCGTAAATTTTGACATAGATGAATTACACAGGGGAACAATTTCAGGGTCATGATCAAGAATATAAAAAGGTCATATTAAATTTAGAACTTAATATGACCTCTTATATTCTGAGCAAGAGAATTGTAATTGTACAGAAAATTATTATATTTATTCAAATATTGATCTAACTCAAGTATTAAGGATCATGTGCGGTAAAGAAACATTTGGACATTTAAAACAATATTTGAAAGCTTATATTCCTGTATATATTTAGCTATATCTGAGATATATAATTATATACGTCAACGAAATCAACATCAACGCAAAAGGCGGAAACATTTAAAATATTCAGGTTGGAATGGAAATTTTTGAATTTTTCCGTACCATGCCATAAAGTGAGTGAAACCATGATGTGGAGACCATACCAAAACAGGAAAATATATAAACAGTTTTTTGCTACAAGAATTTTTAATCTACAAGTGGGGATAAAAAAAACCAAGTGAGCTTAACATACCGCAATATTCGGCCATTCGGCTAATATTGAAAAATGAGCTCGGGGTAAAGCCATTGAAATTCCAAAAAGTGCAAGTACTTACACCGCAACAGAAAGAAAATAGACTCAATAGAGTTAAAGAGTTGCATCGCTTGGCCGAAAGTGGTGAACTGCCGAATTTGGTTTTCTCCGATGAGAAAACATTCGTTGTCCAGCAGTTTGTAAACAAACGAAATGATCGTGTTTACTTGCCAATAAGGTCAGTTGAAAATGTGCACCTTCGGTTGGCCACCAGAACTCAAGCGCCGGCCACGGTGATGCTGTGGGCAGCCATAACAGCCGATGGTTGCTCTCCGCTAGCATTAATCGAACGTGGCATCACAATAAATTATATCAGCACGAATATTATCAGCACGCACCACCCCAGATTGGTTACAAAATGAGGTTCCATTCATTTCCAGCGCACAATGGCCACCAAAATCTCCGGTAACCAATCCGTTGAACAATTGTGTCTGGAGTATTTTGGAAAGCTAGGTTGACACTAAAAAATACCAAAGTGTCGATGACCTCAAGCAAGCGCTTCGCCGGAATTTGACCAAAATTCCGCAGAACAACATTCGGGCAGCGTGTGACTGTTTCATTGGTCGTTTGAAGGTCATAATTCGTGCCCAAGGTGACCAATTCGAACAAATCTAAACTTATTCTAATTAATGATGCCATTTCCGACACTTCTTGCATTCATTCAATAAAATTAAAAAAAAAAAAAAATGATGGCGTTTGACTTTGTTGCAGTTTTTTATCTCACCCTGTAATTCCTGATCAGCATAAAATTCTAAAACGACATAGCCCTATCCGTCCGTCTGTCCGTATGTTGTAATCACGGTAGAGTCAAAACGAATAAGGATGGAAAGCTAACATTTTGCACAGATAAGTCTTTTGTCTGCAGGTAGGTCAAGTTCGATGATGGGCTATATCGGCTCACGATATCGTATTTCCCCCATACAACGGTACCCCCGATAGTCGGTATTTTGATGACTTCAGCCACATTTTCTAACGGAATTGTCTGAAAAGAAACACAAGGAGTTCCTTTTGAGTAATTTACCCCCTAGAAGAGAATTGTCTATACAGGTCATTGATATCTTTCAGCCCCCATATAACTTTACCTCCCGATATTCGGTATTTTGATGATTTCAGCCACATTTTTCAGTGAAATTTTCCGAAAATTAACACAAGGAGTTCACCGTGACGAGATTACCACCTGAGAGAAAATTGTATTTATAGGTATACGATATGGTATGGCCGCCAAACAACAGTACCCCCCAATATTCGGTTTTTTAAGATTTTAGCCATTTCTTCAATTAAAACATGGAGCTCCTTTTGACCACATAACCCCGGGAGGTTCCACATAACGGTACCTTCCTATATTCGACATTTTGATGATTTTAGCTACATTCTTCAATGAAATTGTCTAAAAGTCTATACTAAAAGTTCTTTCCAAGCACTTTACTCCCTGATAGAGAAATGTTTATAAAGGTCACGATATTGTATACCCCTCATACAACGATACCCCCCAATATTCCATATTTTGACGAATTAGGGACATTATTCAAATTTCGTATGTTGTGTTCGTAATGGGTACTTCAGCCTGTTACAAAATGCGTATGAAGGCCCACGTCTTTGTCCATATAACATTACTTCCCAATATTCGGTATTTTGATGATTTTATCGACATTATTCACCGGAGTTGTTTTAAAAAAAAATTGTCTATGCAGGTCCAGGTCTTCGTATAGGCGCATACATCAGTACCTCCCTATATATATATTTATATATATATATATATATTTTTTTTTTTTGATGATTTTAGCTACATTATTCGCGGGATTTTTTTCAAGTTTCGTGTTTAAATAGTAATAGTAATGGCTTATGACAAAAGTTGCCTATGCAGGTCCTTGTCTTCGTAAAGACCCCAGTATAACGGTATTTTTAATTTATTTTTATATTTTATATTTATATATTCATTTATATATATATATATATATATATATATATATATATATATATATATATATATATATATATATATATATATATATATTATATTTTATTTTTATATTCGGTATTTTTAAGATTTTAACAGAATTTTTAGCCGATGTTTTTTTTTTAAAAATTTCCAAATTCCCTCAAATGGTAGAGGGTATTCAAAGATCGGTCCGGAATCGGTCAGATGAAATTTTGCACAAATTATTTGTTTGGCCCAAGGGCGAACCCTATTGAAAGCGGAGATAATCGGTAAAAATTTAGATATAGCTCCCATATATATCTTCGTCCGAATTGCCTTTTATTGTGCACCAAACGTGTAATATCAGCTCGTCTAGTATGCAATTTTGCACATACAACCAAATTAGGGCAGAAAATAAGTATGCTAAATTTGATCGAAATCGATTCAGATATTGCTATAGCTCCCACATATATTGTTCATCCAATTTGTTATTTTTTTCCTCCGCAGCCGTAATATGCACATTGTAACAACAATATTTAAAGAAATATATTAAATGCAGCTCAGAAATACCTTTGCTAAATTTTATCGAGATCGGTTCAGATTGGATATAGCTCCCATATATAACTTTGTCCGATTTACCATTTATTGTGCACCAAACGTCTAATATTTGCCCAAATGGGATGGGATTTGGCACATACGACCGAATTGAGTCTAGAAGCAACTATACCAAATTTGGTGAAGATCTGTTCAGATATAGCTATAGCTCCCATATATATTGTTCATCCGATTTGTTGTATTTGTTATCCACAGCCGTAATATGCATTCCGTAACAACGATATTCAGGAAAATATATCAAATACAGCTCAGAAATATCCTTGCCAAATTTTATCGAGATCGGTTCCGATTTGGATATAGCTCCCATATATATCTTTATTCGATTTAATATTAATTGTGCACCAAATGGGCAATACAAGTCCGTATTTAAAAGATACAAATGCTCCTTCATATTTAGTCCTTTGAACTTTAAATTATAATTATAATCATAGCGTGTATGATTGAATTCTCCCATAAAAACTTTTAATTGTTATGCGGAGCTCTACTAAATTAGCAAAGTGGTGTAGGGTATCATAGAGTCGGCCCGGCCGACTTTAAGACTTTCTTTACTGTTTTTTTTTTTTTGAAAATTTTCAAATTCTTTCCAAATTGTGAAGTGTATTTAAAGTTCACCCTGGCCGAACTTATTGCTTTTTTTCTTGTTAATTATTTAATAATTTTTTGCGTTGCACACTGTTATTGTGTTGTCGTACACACTCATTCAGCTATCAAACACACCCAATTTCTGCACAAATGTACGAAAAAAATTAATTACATTTTATCAATTACATTCAAAATAACCACCATCATTCGGACACAATTTAATAAAAAATATTTTTCTTAAAAATGTTTACTTAACAAATGTTATCATTTACTGCTTGCAACAACATTGGCGATGACTTCCCAACGATCAATCCAATTACATTGAACAAATTATGCAATGCCACTAAGATATTTACGATCTGTCTGTATATTCACGTGTACGCGGGTATATTTTTCCACAAAATAAAAACACAACAAATTTGGCTAAATATTTATTTTAGAAGAATTATATTGGAAACCAAAAGTGTCACCTCTCTCACTCTCCCAAACGAGAGTAAAGAAAAGTGAAGTGAAGCATATAACAAGCGTGACACTGACGTCTATTACGCACAACGGTCGCTCATCCAGTTTGATTGGCTGGATCAGCAGTCATGTATCTATCAATCCGGCTTGGCGCATCAGCTGAATTTCTGACCTACGAAAACCCAAAAAGAAACAGTCAACATTATCCCCGTTGCTCTACAATTTTTTATAAGAAAAAAAAAAGAAAAAAAAAGAAAACAAATTTGTATGTCAAAAAAACGAAATGGAAATTATTTTTTTTTTTCTTTTCGTCAAACTCTATTTGTTATTGTTGTTCTTAGGGTCTGGTCAAGAAATTGTAGCGCGCTTTAATAACTTTTTAGCACTTTGCTCGAAAAAAACTTTTCAAACACGATTTTTTCGCTGTTGTTTAACAAACTTACATACATACATACATACAAACATTTAACACACTCCACATTTGGATATGGTGGCACTAAATTTAATACCGGCCAGCTAACTAGATGGCTGGCTGAGATGGCTGGCTACCGGCTACGCAGCAATGATGGTGGCCACTTGCTAGCGTCTGTTTGTTTGTAGGTAGGTAGTTAGGTAGGTATGTATCACGGTGCTGTCTATGTGTAACACTTTTTCTCCACTGTGAAATGTTGTTTATTTTGTCTTTCATATTAAAATGAAATTTTTTTTCAGGGTTTAACAATCGCTTCATTTCACATGTTCCAGTCATTTGTAGCGCTGAGCGCAAGCGCATTGCAACGGAAGTCCGATTATCGCCAGGAATAACGAAACGAACGGCCGTCGTGTCGTGGTATCATCGTCGTCGTCCGAACGAGGATAACGAAATAATTTCACGCGAAATATTCCAAACGAACGAAACTATTTTGAAATGAGAAATTATTTTTACGGTTTATTTGCATTGCTGTTATTTGGTTTGATGTCGTTTTCGGAAGGTACGGGTGGAAAATTTTAAAAAATTATCGATTTGAAAAAAAAGTATTTTGAAAAAAAAAAATAAATAAAATTGAAAAGTGAAATCCTCAATAAAAAAAAATAAAATAATTTTAAATATGAAAACAATAAAAAAGTGTCACTACAGGAATATTCAAAGGATGTTCAAGGATTAACAACAAAATATGAATGCATGTGAATTATTTGTGATTTAAATAAAATATATACCAAATTGTGATTGATGGAGTAATAAACAATAATATATATGTATATATTTACAGTTATTTAAAAAGAAAAACTAACAATTGGAATTAAAATATTAAAATGGAATATATTATCAACAATCCACGAAATTGTACTTTACTCCAAAAACGGACACCATTAGTAAAAAGTAACATTTTATAAAAGCGCGGCACAAAGCACCAAAAATTGCCAATACCTGGAAATTTGTTGAAGTTTGCGTTTGAACTCGAAACAGTAACTCTAACAGCACTAAGTCAAATTTCTTTTCGAGAAGATTTGTCTGGACTTTCCCTCAATTATTGGGATTTTAAAAAGAAATGTTAAATGCATTTTTATTCTCTTTAACAAATTATGTTTCTGGAAAGTAATCGTGCAAAACTTCGTTCCCCATGAAGTTCAGTTTCAATGTAAAAATAAAAAAACGAACAACGAAAAGTTGTAAGTTCGGCCCTGCCGAACTTTGAATACTCTCCACCGTTTGGAACGAATTTGGCAATTCTCAAAAACAATAAAATCCGTTAAAAATTCTGTTAAAATCTTAAAAATGTAGTGTTATATTAGGGTCTATACGACGACCTGCATAGGTAACATTTGTCATAAGCCATAAAGACAGTCAAATGCGAAACTTTAAAAAAATCGGTAAAAATGTAGCTAAAATCATCAAAATACCGAATATCGGGAGATATCGTGGACCTGCACAGACAAACTCCTGTCATATGCTGTAGCATCAATTATGAACTTGAAATACCAAATTTGAAAGAATTCCGGTGAATAATGTCGGAAAAATCATTAAAATACCGAATATCGGGAGGTACCATTATTTGGGGGCCATACGAAGCCTGTAGTATTCATTTCGAACTTCAAATACCAAATTTGAAACAATTCCGGTGAATAATGTCGCTAAATTATTCATCAAAGTACCGAATATCGGGAGGTACCGTTATATGGGGGCTATATGACAACGTGGAACTACATGGCCCATTTACGAATTTAACCTGCCTACTGGAATAATAAACATAAAATAATAAACAAAATTTTACCCTTCTATCTCAATTCGTTCGAAAGATAGCGTGATTACAACAGACAGGCGGATATTTCCAATACCTGGTCTTTAATTGAATTTTGGTTCGAATTTTTAGTTCCTTTGTCTGGACTTTCCCCCAATCATTGGATATTTAAGGGGACATCTTAGATTTATCTCTGTTTCTAAAATCGTTCCTAAAGATGTAATGTAACATAGAATTTAGAAAAAGGGAAAAATCATATCTAATAAAGGATAAATAATGGAAAATATATTCGAATGCGTCAGTTCCGTATTTTTCACAAGACCCTTGATTCCTTGATTGATAACGATCATATATGCCTACAACTTCATTATATTTAACACTCTCAAAACTCCGTTCGGAGCTACCGATTTGTTTAAAATAATAAAAAATCATCTAAGTTCTGCCGGACCAAAATTTTAATACCCTCCAACATTTTTAAGGAACTTGAAAACATTTGCAAAAAAAATACGTCAAAGAAAAGCTGTTACATGGAGGATATACGAAGACGTTGTTTTGCATATACGTGGACCTATATAGACATTTTTCTGAAAGGGGGTTAAGTACTCAGAGGGAACTGTTTGTCTGGATTTTCAGACAACTCTATTGAAAAATTTAGTTACAATTATCAAGATAACGAATATCGGAGAGGAATATTTCAGGGGATAAGTAGCCACGAAGAACTCCTTGTGTGGAAATTCAGATGATTCCATTAAAAAATGTGGCTAAAATCAACAAAATACCGATTTTCGGGAGGTACCGTTATATGGGGGCTAAACGATATCGTGGACCTAGACAATATAGACAATTCTATTTCTTGGGGTGAAGTAGTCACCAAGAACTCCTTGTGTAGAATTGTAGACAATTCCATTGAAAAATGTGGATAAAATCATCAAAATTCCAATTATTGGGAAGTACCGTTATATAAGAGATATACGATATCGTAGACCTATAAAGATAATTCTCCTCCACATGCAAAAGTACCTGGAAAGAAATCCTTGTGTAGATTTCACACGATTCCATTAAAAAATATGGCTAAAATCATCGAAATACCGAATGTCGGGGGGTACAATTATATGGGGGGATATACGATATCGTGGACCTATACAGACAATTATTTTTCAGGGATAAAAAAGCCACGAAGAACTCCTTATTTAGAATTTCAGACAATTCCATTGAAAAATGCAGCTAAAATCATCAAAATACCGAATGTGGGGAGAACCGTTATGTGTGGGCCATACGATGTCGTGGACCGATGTAGCCCATCTTCGAACTTGATCTGCCTGCAGACAAAAGACTTGTCTGTGCAAAATTTTAGCTTCCTATCTTATTTCGTTTTGTCTCTAGCGAGACCACAACAGACGGACGGACAGGTCTAAATCGTCTTAGAATTTTACGCTGATCAAGAATATATATAATTTGTTAGGTCTAAAATTATTATTATTTTGATGAGTTACAAATAATTCAAAGAAAAATGCTTCGAAATTTATCAAAATACCAAATATTGACTGTTATAAAAAGTGGTACCCGTTTAGGAATTGGGCGGAAAATTTCAATGGGAAAACAGTATCAAAACGTTACACATCCAATTTTCTATCCAAAACTATTTCAACGTCTCCATATGTAAATCGTAGAGACCAACAGTGACCTCAAAATCAAATTTTAGAATTTCAGCACTATCCCTTTACCCATTACTAAATTTAGTACTATTTAGTACTTTATGTACTATTATAGTACACATTTTCAAACCCAGATTCCAGATATCAACAGACCCTCAACATGTAATTTGGGTATTCCAGTCCTATCACCCATTCACCCATTACCAAATTTAGTACCATATGGTAATTTTCGAACAACTATAGTACACATTTCTAAACCCACCTCCAAATTTTAACCTCAGATCCCAACAGTTATCTAAATATCAAATTTCTGAATTGTATCTCTTCTACTAAATACCAAATTTGGTACTACTTAATACTTTTCGTACAATATAGTCCACATTTCTAAACCAGACTCCATATCGTAACCACAGACAACAACAGTAACATCAGGTTTCAAGCACAATCTGTTCACTCAATATCAAATTGTACCAAATATCTTACCGTTTGGTATACATAAGTACGAATTTCCAATCCCATCCAATACCCCAATCCTATGCTCCAACAGTAATCTTAATTTCAAGTCTCAGGATTACAGCCCTGACGGTTCACACAACCCCAAATTGTACATAATTTAGTACACATAAGTACGAATTCCCAAAACTTTTTACATACCCAAATTCTATACTCAAAATTTCCAAAACTACCTCCATATTTCAATCATACAATTCCATAGAAATGTTAAGGTTTTTTCAAATTGCAGAATGCCAGCTCTATCGGTTCATCACAATATCGTTTGGTACAAATTTTAATCCCATTTAGTACAAATTAGTACACATTTCCATAACAACCTGCATCATACAATCGAATGCAAATAGTATTTCCCAATATCAGGATTTCAGCGCTATCGGTTTACCCAAATCACAATTGTTCCAAATTTAGTACCATAAGGTACAGATAAGTACGAATTTCCAAAGCTTCCTACGTACTCCATACTTCAACACTCCAAAGTAATTCCAATTCCAAAGTTCACCATTTCATCATCATTGGTTTGCCTAAATATAAATTGTACCAAATTTAGTACCATATAGTACAGATATGTACGAATTTCCAATATTTCCTACATAGCCCAATCCCTCTATCCACCAATAATACTTTACTTCAAAATTTCAAGATTCCTGCTCTTTTGGTTCACCCAAATCCAATTTGTACCAAATTTTGTACATTTTAGTACATATAAGTACAAATTTCCAAAACTACATACATATCCCAATCCTTCACTCAGACAATAATCCAATATTCAGGATACCACCCAAAGTACTAATTCCGAAAAATTCCTCCATATCCCAATCCTACACTTAGCCAGTAATGTTAATTTTAAATTTCAGGATTCCATCATCTTCCGTTCCTCCAAATTCATATAGTACTAAATTTAGTACCGTTTGGTACTTTTCGCATACATGTGGGCACACTCCCAGAACTACCTCCTTACATCGACTCTACTCCTCAACCTTGATTTCCATTCTAAATTTCAAGTTCTTAGCTCTATACGTTGACATGATACGAAATGGTACCAAATGTAGTACATTTTAGTATTTTTCGTACACTCCTTTTCCAAAACCCTTTGATACATGTATCAGTGACCCTCATTCCAATTTTCTACGGCTTTCTCAAATACAATGGGTATATTTTAATAATTTAATACCGTTCTAGTACGAATTTCCAAAAACCCAGCCTTTTCTGACCCCTTCGGACCAAGAGGGATACTCACCCAAATCAAATACTCTTTTCAGAATTTTATAAATTTTTTTTCAATCACATTCCAGTTATGATGTTTTTTAGTTTTATTTTATTTTTCTTTCAAATAATTTTTTCTTACTTTATTTTCTACATCCTTTCAGGCAAACCATGCCCGGGGAGAACGCGACCTCACAAGACACGCTGCGATGCTTATTACAAATGTACCGAAATTAACGACCAGAAACATGTCTGGGTACCGGCGAAATGCGAAGAAGGTCTTATCTATGAACACAGTTTGGGTGTGTGTGTTCTGCCGGCCGATGATTGGGAATGTGGACTCAATGCTACGGCTGATACGAATAGAAATCCTCCCTCGAGATCGAGCCCAAGTGCGAATAAAGATGCTGACTTTTATGTTGTGACCAATGCCCGGGAAGAATTGGAGGCTGGACACAGAAGAAATGACAAATTCGATGATGGCAAGGTGGAAATTGTCATTGGCACGGGCGTGAGCAGTGAAGAAGTGGAGGGGGGAGATGCTCTCTATGATGGCAGTGGTAATGGTGGGGAACTTGTGCAATTGGATGATTTGATAAATGTGGAAAATCGGGAGGCCAATGATGTGGTGATGTTGAAGGACAAAGAAGAGGCAGGTGGGGAGGTGATTAAACCAGAAATGCATGAGGTTCTGTTGGATGCCGAGAAAAAGGAGGAATTGAATGAGGTGCTGGAAACCATTAAGACTAAGGCGGAAATTGGTCAACCATCCAGTAATATTGATCCCAAACTAACGGCCCATTTGCAGAGATTGTCACAACTGGTGGAGGGTTTGAAGCAGACCTATCAAAATTCAGATACCCCCAGTCAAGACCTGAGGCCTGATCAGTTAAATGCTTTCCTGGCCCATTTTAATATAAAAAATAAATTCGAAAATCTGGAACCCCACGGAGAAGAAGAAGAAAAAGACGAAATGGCCCCCGTGATTGTAAAGGGGATGAATAAAACCGGGGCTGTGAAGAAGGATAATATCAAGAAATTAAATCCCGAAACAAAGGTTGTGCTAAGCAATATTTTGCCAAAACGCTATCAACAGCTGCAGCATGGCGGAAATGATGGCGGCTATTCAAATTCCCAAATTGTGGTAAATCGTCCCGAGGGAGCCGTTCTCTTTGCCCTACCTCAATCCCAGGGGGAACATCATTTTGTCGAACGCCCCGAATATTCTTCGGATAATTCACCGAAAATTTCGGAGGATACCTTGAAAACGGTTTTGGAATTATCCAAGCAAATGATAGCCTCCCAGAATATACCCAGTGTTATACACAATCCAGCCTATTATGCCCCTCCGATTATGCAACCCATTGTCTTGACGCAAAGTCCATTCTCCACGGATTATTATGGGGCAAGGCCGCCGCCGGCGCTGCATCATGGCGGCAATGGTGATGATGACGGTAATGAGGGGGGATATTCGAGTGTGTTTAGCTCGGATCATCATTATCATGGCTATAAGTCTCATAAAAAGCCGCCCAGAAAGACCTCACATGATAAGTCCCCCGCGACCACAATTATACACAACAACGTAATACCCCTGCACCTAACCTCAACGGGAGGTTCCCAGGGTTCGGTGGATAAACTCGATAGCTATGGCCAGAATTTGAATTTATATCCACCACTTGATTCGCAGGAAGAAAGGCCGGATAATTTGGTAGGTGATGGTTACGCGGGTGGTAATGGAAAACCGGTTTATGAAAATAACAAATATGGAATCCGTACCACGCGCCGGCCCTCTGGCACTACAACCACTCAAATGCCCAGCTATGGCCATACCATACGACCCAATGATTTCCATCCTACCTCACACTCGTTTAATAAATATTTCACACCCAGCGAACATTTGAATAACCAGAATGTGAATAGCATTTTCCAGACGACGGACAATTATGGTAATCTCTTGCCACGCCCCTCTTCCCAGCAGGGGCAATCGCAGTCATCGTCTTACTCAGAGACGGATAATTCCAATAACTATGGCACGGCAAATCAGGGATATGAGCAATCCATGTTTAGCGAAGATCACCTGCAGCAGCATCAACCCCAATATCCGAATAGTGTCGATGAGGAAGATACCGATATGATACAATATACTTTTGGCAATCCGAAACCTTCACATGCCGAGGGGAATCTACAAATGCAACAGTATTCCGGCTCACAATCGGTATTTAGTAGCAATAACAACAACAATAACCACTATATGCCAAGGCCCTCTGGTTCCTCTCCCGCGAATAATATGATGTATAATCCCTCAGCAATATCGACGAATTCCTATAATCCATCCTCATCCTCCGCAAATGCATATAACCCCTTATTATCCCTCTCATCGTCATCATCATCGTCTTCCTCTTCAAATGTCTACAACCCCTTGACCGCCCTCAGCTACAGCGGCAGTTCATCTGGCAACAAATACCCCAACAAAGCTGGTACACAACTGGTAAATATCGGAGGCAATTTCATTAGCATTGATGCCTTTCAAAATTCCATATTACCTCTTATGGGTGGCAATGCCCAAGCGGCGCCCAACGTGGAAGTAATCACATGTGCTGCGGGTGTAAGGCAACCCAATACCACGGATTGTACCCGGTATTATGTTTGCAGTAAAAAAGATGGCAAGGTCCTCTCCTACTCCTGTCCTCCCTATACAGCCTTTAATGCGGATACACGGATCTGTGATGCTCGAACCTATGCCCTGTGCAGTCCCGACAATGAGGTACCACAAACATATTCAGTAAATGAAAATAAACGACTGCAAATGGAAGCCTTGAAGGCAATGCAAGAGGCTAAACGAAAGCAGCAGCAGCAACAACAACAGATGCAACAACAACAACAATTGGCCAATATACTACAACAATATACCATGCAAAGTGCAGCTTCTGCATCCATGAATTCCAATACGAATCCCATGCTAAATTCATACAACTCTCCGACGGGTAGTGATGAACAGAACATGTTGCAATCATACATGCAACAGAATTCAGCCGCCTCTCTAATGCCCGGCACCACTGCACGACCCCAGCTGACGCCCACGAAGAGTAAAAAACGAAAATACTACTGCAAAGAGGGTGATAAAATTCCCGATCAAACATCGATAAGCAGTTACTTTGTTTGCTACAAAAATGCCCAGGGCCAGATGAAGGGTCACAAGATGACCTGTTCCAAAGGTTTGCTGTTCTGCCCCAAAACTACCATGTGTACCTTGCCATCGAAGTGTTCATAAGGAAATTACACTATCCATTTGCCAGTCGAATATCCTGCCCCTAGTTACTAAGTTTAGTTTAGTTACTAAGTATGAGAAGCTTTTTATTTATTCTAATTTTAAGATTAATTTTATTTATTCGAAATAAATTCCGAAGATGCGATGATGTAGTTAAAAATGTAAATTTTGGGCGAAATTTTAATTTTCCAGAGGAGATTTTGGGTAAGTAAAGAGATTTAAAATTGGCGCCCAATGAAAAATAAACTATAATGTGTAAACGTACCTTTACGAGTTTTTATTTGGTATCATTCCTCTTGGATTGCGAAGACAATTAAGGAGAAGCGTTTAAGCCTTGTTTTTAATTTTATTATTATTTGACATTAAAATTGCTATGAGACTATTAAAACTGCCGAATATTACGACGTAACAACTATATCTGTGGAATAAATTAAAATTGCATTAAATGCTTTTATTTCTGGCTATCAATTTCTCTGAATGCCAAAGGAGAAGAAGAATCATGTTACTTTGACATATTTCTTTCATGTTTTTTTTTTCAACGATCTTTAAATCCCTATGTCATGTCACTGTTTATACCCTACACCACATAATGGTAAGGGTATTATGACTTTGTGTACTTGTTTGTAACATGGAGAAGGAAGCGAAATACACCCATAGTTACTTATGAGGAATTTCATAAAATCACTTGCTGAGCCGAATTATGCATCTCAGTCCGTCTGTTCGTCCATGTATTGTTGCGAACAAAATGCAGGTCGCATTTATAATCTGATTGATATGAAATTTTCCAAACAAAATTAGTTTGGCCCAAGGACGAACCCTATTGAAATTGGTGATAACCGGATCAGATTTAGATATAGCCCCCATATATCTTCAACCGACTTAGAGTTAATTGTGCACCAAATGGCTAATATCAGTCCAAATGACCTGAATTTTGGCACATCCTACAGAATTCCGTTTAGAAGCAAGTGCAACAAATTTGGAGAAATCGGTTCAGACATAGCTTTATCTCTCATATATAGGTTTCATCCGATTTCGTATTAAAGTCCCCCACATTCGTAATTTGCACCCCACAATAATGATGCTTGGTATCAGATATAGCCCAGGAATACCTCTGCCAAATTGTATCAAGATTTAGATGTAGCTCTCATACATATCCTTAATCCGATTTCAGGTTTATTGTGCAAATAATGACTAATATCAGCCCAAATGTTGTGAATTTTGGGACGTAGGTTTCTATTTTGTGAAACTCGGCTCCAATAGAAAATTTTTATACCCTCCACCATTCCAACTCCTTGAAATATTCAGAATAGACCCTACAAAGTATATATATTCTGGATCAACGTAAAATTCTGTCTGTCTGTCCATCTGTCTGTTGTAATCACGCTATCTTTCGAACGAATTGAGATACAAGGCTAAAATGTTGAATACATGCATAGATTACGAGTTGGCAGGTTAAGTTCATAAATGGGTCATGTCGGTCCACGTTTTCGTGTATCCCCCATATAACAGTACTTCCCGATATTCGGTATTTTCATGTGTTTAGCGACAATATTTACCGGAATTATTTCAAATTTCGTATTTGAAGTTCATAATGGGTGCCACAGGCTGTGACAAAAATTTTTGTATACAGGTCCTCGTATTCACATAGCCTCCATATGACGGTACCTCCCAATTCTCGGTATTTTTATGATTTGTGCGACATTATTCACCGGATTTGTAACAAATATCGTACTTAAAGTTCGTAATGGGTACTACAGCCTATGACAAAAAAATTAGTAAGCAGTTCCACGTCTTTCGTATAGTCTCCATATAACAGTTTTCATTAAAGTGGTAGTTTCCGGAAGTATTTTTTGAAAATTTTCAAGTTCCTTCCAAATGTTAGTTCTTTCCAAATGTATAAGGTTATTAAAAGACCTTCCCGGCCGAAATTAGCTTATTATTTATTTGTTTTAATATAATCCTTCTCCAAGTAATATCATGCACTCTATAGCAATGTTATATATATAAAAATTTAGTGAAAGTCGATTCAGAATTAGATATGCCTTCCAAAGGCAAACTGTAACTGCTCTAAAGCCATAGGTTGATACGTGGTACGATCTACTTCAAATAAATACTTATGTTACGGGAGCTCTACTAAATATACATAGTGGTTGGCCCCGCCCGATTTTTGAATTTTCCTTACTAGTTTAATTTTATCATTATTTTGCATAAATATTGCAATATTGCTATGACGCTGCTATAAAACTACCGAAAATTACGAAAGCAACAACTAATTTATTGCCCGGCTATCAATTTCTCTGAATGCCAACGGAGAAGAAGCATCGTCTTTGATGTTCTTTCAACGATCTTTGGATCCTTATATCATGTCTCAGTTTTTGTTTTGATTCTTTTCTTTATCACGTATTTCGTATTTGTTTTCTTCTTTCTACGGCGATGACTTTTCTAACAGTAGCTCTGTGATATTAATGTTTTTTCTTCCAATTGGGAAAAGTTAATTTGTTTGGAAAAATGTCACAGGTACAGGAAACCACCAACCTCACAGAGCAACTGGACAACGAAGAAGTGCGTGAAATTCTCAAAAACACCACCGACTTGCGGCAGTATTCCCGACAAATTGAAAAGGAATTCAAGGAGGTGGAAAACAAAAGCATCGAAGACTACATCAAAGAATCTCAGAATATTGCGGCACTGCACAATCAAATTGGTGAATGCGACGATGTCCTGGAGCGCATGGAGAATATGTTGATGAATTTTCAAAGTGTGCTCAGTAACATAAGTACGGAGATAACACAGCTGCAGAAGAAGTCGGTAGCCATGTCGGTCCAGTTGACCAATCGCCAGTCGGTGAAGGCCCAGCTGTCACAATTCATCGAAGACATGGCAGTGTCGGAGGAGATGATAATGTCCATTATGGAAACACCGGTGACGGAAAAAGAATTTGAAAAACAATTGAATATTCTAAATCACAAGCTGTCGCTGGTTAAGGAGTTAAGTTTTAAGGAATCCAAAGCTACTGCAGATGTGGCTGATGTTTTGCATAAATTACGCTTGAAGGCTATGTCAAAAATACGTCAATATATGTTGGAACAAATCTATAAGTTTCGTCGTCCCATGACCAACTATCAGATACCACAAAATGCCATGTTGAAACATAAGTTTTTCTTTGAATTCGTGTTGTCCAATGAACGTCAGGTGGCCCAGGAGATATGCAATGAATACATTGATACAATGAGTAAAATTTATTATAGTTATTTTAAGGTAAGGAGGATGAGGTTTTTTGCGTGTGATATGTGATAATCAAATATTTTCAATTGCAGAGTTACTCTTCCCGTCTGGCTGGTTTGAGATTTGAAGAATCCTGTACCAAAGATGATTTAATGGGCATTGAAGACAATGTCCCGAAGGGTCTTTTTGCCAAAACCACCAGTTTAAAGCATAAGAGTACCATATTTACAATTGGCAAGAGGGGTGATATACTCAATCAACAGCTGGAGGCTCCTATTATTGTGCCACATGCTCAAATGAAGAACCGAGTAAGTATTTTGGAAAAGGCTATGGGCAGGACATGCCGCTGACATTTTTTACGAAACACTTCGGTATACTCATTAATAGTGAGTGGAGGGACAAAATAGATTTTACAGCCGCAACTTAAATTTTTAAGTTTGATTGGGTTTCGCCATTTTCCAGAAATACCCACATGTCGTTTTTCTAAACGAGCATTCTAACAGGTCTGCGGTACTAACCCATTGCATAGCACTAGTATTCGCTAGCCATACCCATCACTGCAAAGCTTATCAACAACTGAAGAATTACCCTACAAAATCCTTCCATTACATTTTGGATTTTTGCATTGATTTAATCATTGTTATTATTTTATTTTCAGTACACTTTTGAGGCCCTCTTCCGTTCCGAACAATATGCTCTAGTTGATAATGCCTGCCGAGAATATTTATTTGTTACGGAATTCTTTATGGTACGCGGGGCACAGGCCCAGGATCTGTTCAATCAAATTATGGGCAAAACGTTGACATTGATGATTGTAAGTTATAAAGATATATTTTCGAATGAAATTAATTACAGATTTTCCACATCCTTCTTGTCTATAGAAAAATCTGGAAACCAGTATTCAGGACTGCTTCGACACAATAGCAATGTTCTTGTGCATACAGTTGATATTCCGCTATCAGTTGATGTGTCACAAACGATGTGTACCAGCCTTGGATAAGTAAGATCTGAATTGATTTTTGATAACTTGTCCTAATTGAGTGATTGTTCTCTGTTACAGGTATTGGGATTCATTGCAAGCTGTTTTCTGGCCGCGATTTGAACATGTATTCAGGTTGAATATACAAAGTATTCGTGACTGTGATCCAACGAAGTTTAGCAAAGAAATGGGACCGCACTATGTAAGTTTTAAAGATCAAAATATCCGCCATCGAAATAGTCGTGTTCGAGTCCTATTTTTGGCAAAAGGAGAATGGCATGGCTGATATTAAAGCCTACTACTTTGCTTTTATTTCTATTTTGCTAATATATAATAAAACTTCTTAACTTTCAGATAACACGTCGCTATGCCGAGTTCTCAGCAGCTATTGTTGGCATCTCTGAACACTTTCCCAATGAACTGGTCAGTCGTCTTTTACTGGAGCTACAAAATGAAGTTGAGTGTTTCATTCTACGCATGGCAGCCATATTTCCTAATCGCAAAGAGCAACTGATTTATCTAATAAATAATTATGATCTCGTTTTGGGTGTCCTGATGGAACATACCCGAGATAATTCCAAAGAAGCATCAGCATTCCGGGAACAATTAAATGCACGTAGTGCTGAATATGTTGAAGAGATTCTTGCACCACATTTTGGTGGTATTATACAATTTGTCAAAGAATGTGAACCTCTGTATGAAAAGGAACAACTCGAAGAAGTACGTAAACAGGAGCGTAGAAGTTTAGCACTGGTAGCAAGCTTTTCGGCGAGTTGGAAGAAATCGTTGGAGGAATTGAATCGTGAAGTGTTGCTTTCGTTTCCATCCCTTTTGACCGGTTCACAACTTTTACAATTGGCCTTGGCCAGTTTAGTGCAATATTATCATCGATTCCATAAACTACTGACACCAAATGCCCGTGCCCAGTTGACCAATATCCATGTGGTTATGGTTGAAATGAAAAAATATAAATGTAATTATTGAGAAGTATTATAGAATTGTTTCTCCCACCCCCATTAAATTATTCCATTAGTTGTTAATGTATGTATGTACTATACCCAATCTATTTTATATGCTAGACAATTAAGTTTCATATTTACACACATATTCACAATCGATTAATAAATTTTATTAAGATTATATTACTTTTTCCTTTTATTAAGTATGTTCTTTTTTCTTTTTATGGCTTAGTCCTCATCTTCAAACATCATTTCCACCAAGTCCTTATTGGAACAACGTTCACCGTCCAAACGTTGCGGGGACTTCCAACGCAATAGAGTGGGCAAAAATACCAAATGTGTGTTGGGATCCTTACGGAATGGACAATTTAAATCTTTCCAGCTGTAAAAAAAAGAGGAAGAGGGGGGAATGGGGTTAGTAGTACATCTATGGAACAAATAAAATACATCTATGGAACAAATGGCAGACTGAAATCGATATGGGTGGATAGTTTAGAATGTAGATATAAGTCTATAACGTTTTCTGGGGTTATGCATTTGAGGACCTTATAATAGGCAGCAAGAGAACGGGACTAAGTCGGTCAAACAAATTCATTGCTTTGCACGGAAGGAGAAGGATTGACAATTTATTCACTAATCTGCCTTGAAAGATTACTACTCCTTAAGAAATAATTTTATGTTAATTTCAAGGTCAGATTTCTGAGTAAGAAACTTTCCAAATCCCTTAGAATTTTGAGTAGTGTACATGTAGTTCGTAAACGTTTCCCAGAAAAGTGAATTTTCGCATGATTTTGGCGATAGCATCAATGTGAATACTCGAAATCGTATTGATTGCCGCCTCGATTGGGGGTATCTTTCTAGGGATCATCAACCTCCAAGGTTCTATGAGGCTCATTCTACTTAATATTTTTAAGGACGACCATGGGCCATAAAATTAAGAAGCACTCTGGATTGCCAAAGAAAACCCTTCTTGATTTTTGGATTTATTACGGCTTATTTCCAGCGGTCTTAAATTTCCTAACATTGATTTTCTCATAAATTATACCACTCAGGCGTATAAACTCCGTCTAACCCGTTACAAATTTAGCTGCACAATTCTTGGAACTAATGCCATTGAAAATTATGACATGGTTATCATCAGATTATTTGAGACGGTCATAAAAACCAAAACATGGTTGATTAAAAACCTTCGATGTAAATATGTATGACAAATTACGTACAGATAAGTATCTCTACCCCGCAACCCCTATTGCACTCTGGAAACACATTATCTTGATTTTGACCTTATCACTAAAAACACATTATCCATCAAATTGGTAATATAGATACTAATTAAAGTTGAATTACTTACTAGCTACGCTCGCCCACATCGACGTGTACAAAATGTGATTTCTCAGTAGCTTTTGCCAATGCATCATGAATCACCGGTTCAGCTGAGGAAGGGAATTGAAAATGGAAAATGAAATGATTGATTACTTTTCACCACGTAATTTGTAGTTTTCAATGTCGTACTTACCTTTTACACAATAGGGACACCAACTGTTGCCTGACTCATCCTTGCCGCCGGAAAACAAAACATGAATGGGTTGGCCCGAACCTTCTAGTTCGCCCACCAATTTAATGAAATCTTCATAACCTTTTACGTTGTGTTGAACAACCATAATGTTGTTTTTATTTGTCTGAACTTGATTTTGCAAGTTATAAGTACGTTTTGTTGTTGTCGTATACAACTGACGTTGTGATATTTTATAAATATCACCGACTATTTGCCTAAGGAAACGCGTTTTGATGGAATTTCCAAACAACAGTGCGGTATATAAGGAACTTTTCTCGACTTGTGTCAATGTAAGAATAATTCATGAAAAGAACTGCTGGAACTTTTCGATTATTTTTATCGATAAAAGTTCAATATGATTATTCGATAAAACTAGGGTGAACTAGTTGCAATTTTGTTATTCCATTTGATTATATGGTTTCGCCTTTATTATTTTTTATCATAGCTGCATTAAATGTACCAAATTAAATAATAAAAAAGGAGAAAAACTCATTTACCATATTCCTCTTTTCTTTCTTATTTTATTTTTTGTTTGGCGATTAAAGTTATGATGAGAATATTGTAACTCATGAACTAGTTCGTATTGCCAACTAAAATAATTGTTTCCTTATGTGAATAGCTGAGATTTAACACTGTGTAATATGCTAGAAATTAGTTAGCAAGGGGAGCATATTTATGAAATGTTATAAGTTCCAACAATCGTAAACCGTTTGATATGAATTTTGAAAAACATGTCATTATGCTGCACCGTGTTATGATGCTCTTTCTAGTGAATGACTTGACACAATGCGAGCTCTTTTTCTCCCTGTGTCCCCTAAACGATAACTCGATCTAAACATATGTTAATTGCATATGTTTTGAAATATAATCTCTTATCTTAATCTTATCAGCTTCCTAATCGGACATTGTTTATTTAGTTTTACCTTAATTATTTGCCTTAATTCATTGCAGACACTTTTATTTATATTTAGAACACAAGCAAAAGTCTTAGAAAGTGGTAGCAATCGGGCGGAGCGATCATGGTCATTGAACATAACGTAAAAGGTTACGATGAATTTAAGACCCTGGTAGGTGAATTGGAACAATCTGAAAAGCCCATTTTTGTTCTGTTTTCCGGTGGCAAAGATGAAAATGGTGAAAGTTGGTGTCCCTATTGCGTTACAGGTGAGGGAATATGATGAGAATAATTTATTGCATTGATTTATTTCTTTTTATAAATTTTGCAGCGGAGCCGGTAGTACATGATGCTTTGTCGAAGGCACCGGAAAATGCACATTTCATACACGTCGATGTTGGCGAACGTAGCTAGTAAGTTCAAATCGATAAAAGACAAAATGACTCGATACCCGATTATTAAAAAACAAGTAAAAAAGCTGTAAGTTCGGCCAGGCCGAAATTTGAATACCCTCCACCGTTTGGCACGAATTTGGCATAAAAATAAGCTCCGTTAAAAATTCTGTTAAAATCTTAAAAAAATAGAATGTAGCCGTTATATTAGTGTCTACACGATAACGTGGACCTGCTTAGGCAACTGTGGTCATAAGCCATTACAATATTCAAATGCGAAAATTCGGTGAATAATGTCGCAAAAATTACCAAAATACAAAATATCGGGAGGTACCGTTATATGGGGGCTATACGAAGACGTCGTCCTGCATAGACAATTTTCTGTCATAGGCTGTAGTATCCATTACGAACTTCAAATACCAAATTTGAAACAATTCCGGTGAAAAATGTCGCTAAAATCATCAAAATACCGAATATTGGGAGTTTCCGATGTATGTATGAAGACGTGGACCTGCATAGAAAATTTTCTGTCATAGGCTGTAGTACCCACGGAAATACCAAATTTGAAATAATTCCGGTGTATAATGTCGCTTTAATCATCAAAATACCGAAAATAGGGAGGTATGAGGGCTATAAAAAACGTGGACCTACATGACCCATTTTCAATACCAAAAGTCCTGCAGACATAATATACATATGAGTAAAATTTTATTAATCCACTTAATTTTGTTCGGAAGCTAGAGTAATTTCATACATAGTCATAGAATGTTATGCTGATGCTGGGGTCTAAAATGTATATTTCGAAGTGTTATAAACGGATTGAAAAATTTAATAAACCATCCAACTATGGTGGAGGGTATAAAAATGCAAATACATAATTGCATGATATTGCCTTCTTAATTCTACCATCATAAATACAATAAATTGACAGAAGTCCGGCACACTTAAGGTGAGAATACATAAAACGCTTTTCTGACTGACTTAAGTCATCGGCTGGCTTTTTTTCTTAAAAGAACAAAGGAGCATGGGACCGAAATTGAATTAAGTCAACTTAAAACTTCTTCGTTTTTTTCTTTTACCAAAAAAAAAAGCCAGCCGATGACTCAAGTCAATCAAAAAAAACCTTCTATGTAATCTCACCTTTAAAAGAATGGTAATCAGATGGTAGCTCTATCCTACTTATATATTGAAGGTGACATTTTGATAGTTCTTTTACGAGTTACGTCGCTCGTTATAATTGATTTTAAGTGACACCATTCACATTTTCTCTCTTCTTTCAGTTGGAAAGATGTAAACAATCCATTCCGTAAGGATCCCAAAACCCATTTAGTTTGGGTACCAACACTATTGCGATGGAATACTCAGAAACGAGTGGATAGTGATCGTTGTTCCAAAAAGGATTTGGTTGAGATGGTTTTCGAGGATGATGAATAAAAACGAGGAGTTACAGAACTTTTCATGTGCCCAATATAAATAAAATTAATGTAAAAATCTGATATTCGGAATTTTATAAAAAATGCAAAGTGTATTTTTAAAGGATGCTTCATGGTAAAGTTAAGAAGATAAAGACAAAGACATAAAGTAATAATACCCATCACTGCATTTTCTGTAAATTACCCTGTCTAATTTCACTGAATAGAAAAAAGATTTCCATCCCTGATTTGTGTATATACAATGAATTTATAAATATACATTTTTAAAATGAGATGTTGTCAAATAACATATTTTTTGAAAAAATTGTAAACTTTACCTTCTTGATTATACTATGGGATGCTTGTGAGTCTCTCTCTCTCTTGTTTTTGTAAAAAAGAAAATTCTATAAAAAATAATAAGGAACCTATGATCATCGTGACCAACTACTTTATATCATGTCCCAAGTATAAGGTCCCGCTGTCAAACTAAATGTAATGCCAAAATGCATTATTGTGATTGAAATGACAGAACAAAAGATAAACAAATAGCCAACAAAGTGTAAACAAATTGTAACATTTCATCTGGATTTTAGAATTGACAGGAACACCCTGTCATTGCGCCAAGGTTACCACTTTTAATTTTCTCCGAATAAGAAGAAGCATAACGAATGACAGGTACATGGCCCAAATATAAGGTATTCCTTTCAAGTCAGCTGACTACCAAACGAAATGTCAAATGCATTATTGTGTTTAATCACAGAACACAAGATAAACAACAGGCAAAAAAGTGTAAGCAAATTTTGACATTACATCCGGTTTTTTAAAATTTGCAGGAGCATCTGGTTATTGCGCCATAGACAGGTCATAAACTCTGCTTCTTCTTTTAATTGTTGGGAAGTGTACAATTTCTCCCCATATTACCCCCCGATATTCGATATTTTGATGACATTTTTCAATGGAATTGCCTGAAATTCTACACAAGGAGTTCTTCGTGTCTACTTTACCCCCTGAAAAAGAATTGTCTATATAGGTCCCCAATATCGTATATCCCCCGTATAACTGTACCTCCCGATATTCGATATGTTGATGATTTTAGCCACATTTTTCAATAGAATTGCCTTAAAATCCACACAAGGATTTCCTTTCTGCGAACCTAACACCCTGAAAGAGAATTTGCTATATAGGTCCACGATATCGTATACCCCCATATAACTGTACCTCACAACATACGTTATTTTGATAATGTTAGTCACACCATGGTACAATGAATTCAAGGTAGGGCAGAACTATCATATGATTTTATTTTTTTATTTTTCCGGCTTAAAAGGTCAACTTCATTTGTTTATGTGTGTGTCTTCTTTTCTCTATGTTCTTGCAATTTTTTCAACGTTAGCCTACCTTTTCTTCATTGTACCATGGATGCACCTATCTTTTTATACCCTCTATACTATAGAGGGTAACACCTCGAAATATACATTTTAGACCCCACAAAGTATATATATTCTTGATCAGCATAAAATTCTCGACTTAGCGATGTCCATCCGTCTTTCCGTCTGTGAAAATCACTCTAGCTTCCGAACGAAACGAAGTAGGTTGATAACAGTTTATTCAAATGTATATTATGTCTGCAGGATTTTTGGTATTGAAAATTGGCCATGTAGGTCCACGTTTTGGTATAGCCCCCATACAACGGCACCTCCCGATATTCGGTATTTTGGTGATTTAAGCGACATTATTCACCGGAAATGTTTCAAATTTGGTATTTGAAGTTCGAAACTGATACTACAGCCTATAACAGAAAATTGTCCGTACAGGTCCACGTCTTCGTATAGCTCCCATATAACGCTACCTTCCAATATACGGTATTTTGATGATTTTACCGACATTATTCAACGGAATTGTTTAAAATTTGGTATTTGAAGTTCGTAATGGGTACTACGGCCTAAGACAGAAAATTGTCTGTGCAGGTCCACATCTTCATATAACCCCCCATACCTTCCGATATTCAGTACTTTGATGATTTTAGCGACATTATTCACCGAATTTGTATACCCTCCATCATAGTATGGAGGGTATATTAAGTTTGTTATTCCGTTTGAAACACCTTGAAATATACATTGTAGAACTCACAAAGTATACATATTCTTTAGCGATGTCCGTCCGTCTGTGAAAATCACTCTAGCTTCCGAACGGAATAAAGTAGGTTGATAAAATTTTACTTCAATGTATATTATGTATTCAGGACTTTTGGTATTGAAAATGGTTCATGTAGGTCTACGTTTTGGTATAGCCCCCATATAACGGTACCTCCCTATTTTCGGTATTTTGATGATTTTAGCTACATTATTCACTGATTCTTTTTTTCAACTTATGACAAAAGTTGCCTATGCAGGTCCACGTCGTCGTATAGACTCCAATATACAGCTATATTCGGAATTTT